CCCTTAATAAGCAGCGTGATGATGATGCTGGGCTTTTGGAGGCAAAGGTCAATGCATCTCTAGAGAAGCAAAAGCAACAGCTTGAAGTTGAATACAAGTAAGAAGCCATTTATACAATTTTTGTGTAGTCTACCTTATAACAGCTTATGATGTCTTTTACAATTTTTGTTGTATTTTGAAATTTAACAGTTACCTGAGTTACTCATATTATTCTTTGCATGTTCAAGACGAAAGGTTGCTCAGCTGCGTGAGGAGTTAGAAAGTGAACTGAGGGCACAGTTGAAACGTCAAGCTGCAGCACACAGCGACCATCTTGCTGATGTGCTGACCGTCCAAGAGAAAGAGCTTGAAAGCAAGTAAGGAAAACACAGGTGTTGATTAATTCAATAGACATTACTGAGAGCGCTTTAGAATGAATGAAGTTATTAGGATTTTTATATTTTTTGTAATTTGTAATAAAATGATATATGCATTATTCCAGGTGGTCAGAACTGCTTCAGGATAAAGTCCAGACAGAGAAGGACAAATACCTTAGTTCCGTTGCTGTCATGCAGGGCCAGCTGGATGGGCTGAAGGTGTGTATATAGGTGTCTGTTGATTATTGGGATTCATTGCAAGTTCTTGAGCTTATCCTATATATCTTCCATTTGTGTATTTTAAAATACTTGATTAACCTCTTGGATCCAGGTGCTTTGCTAACCGCATTGGCGCAGAATCTGGGCTTTAGACTTGAGCATCTACTCTGACAAATGTATTGTATTCAAATTTAAAGTATTCCACGTCTCTTCACTGTCAGGACGTTATGGGATATTTCTAATCACATACTATAGGTTTTTGGCGAACGACACAACAGCTTCACACTGCTCGTGCATGGTACTAAGTGATAACAATTTACTCTTACCATCTATCTTCGTTGGTTTTCTGGATGCATATCAATGGCACGACCTCACGGGGGCTCTGGTGTTCGGGGGTGAGCGAGCCGGTTGCTGTAGGACTTGCTGCTCTAAGAAGAGTGCACGCACTGCCTCGAATAATACTAAACAAATCATCAGTAATACCATCTCTCTCAGATGATTTAGGATCGTGAGATTCTGTGTATAACAATTATACCCATGCGTCCAACATTTGTAGCAGTACGATTATCTATCAAATTTAATTATTTTTCTGGTGATAGAAAAGAAGTACAGATTATTTATTCATTATTATTTGTTGATATATTAATTTACATAATTTTTTTTTTTTTATTTTCATTTTGGTTCTGTTTTATATTTAGCCATTGATCTTACTCCAAGATTGTCGTATATTTTCATATCTTGAATATGCCTGTATTTATGGAAATCGGTTTCAATTAAGTGAGGTTGGCTTTTTGTAGTTTTGCTCACTAATGTCTGATGAGAGGAGGATGAGCGGATACGGGCATGTCATGTTCTCTCTAGGGGGTATGAGTGGGTTACTTGTAATAATCCCGCGGGGCAAGAATGAATAACAGATACTGAAATAGAAGAGGACGGGTATATTTTATTGTATGGTTGTGTAGATTTAAAAAAAAAATTGTAGATGATTATGAATTCAATTGATATTACAAGAGGCCAGCCCCAGCCGTGTCAATTCACGAGCAAGCGAGGAACTGAAATGCTAGGGATCTGTTGGAGCACGTGGAGGAAGTTTGGAGTACTCCTCCCTGTTGGCTAAGCTTGGGACAGGCGCTGGGAGTAGGGCGGTGCTGGGCGGGTTCGTTTGTGTGTTTTATCGTGTGTGAGGAGATCGGCGGCGGTAGACTTGCGGCAATTGTGGTTACTTGATCGGTTGCACTTCTGAGAATGATATCTGGGTTATTGTCCTCCTAGTGCCACCTCGATTGGTTCAGATGTACTCCACTTTGTTAGTTTGTTTTTGTGAGCAAAATGGTGGAGGAGTCATGCCTGCTGCTCGTGCGGGGTGGCAGAGGATGTAGTAATGCTCGCCACTTGGTCCGTGGAAATTGTATAGATCTGAGTGAAAATCGGCGTGGGTTCGTAGAGATGTCGATCAAAGAGGGAAGATACTGCGATCAATGATCCGCAATTCGAGTTAGTTACGTTCGTGTCAGAGTGTGACGTAGACGTGTCATGAATCCGGTTGGTGCTATAGATTGGTGATGCTTGCTATGAGGGCCTGCGTGTGAAGGGTAAGCGACTGATTGTTGTCCGTAGTTATGGTATTGAAGCAATGTCAGTGTCTGTGATCACTGGGCGGTGAAATGTTCTGTTGGAGCATGTCACTACCGGGATGTTTTTGTTAGGGGTGCCGATCGAAAAGGAGAAGGGATGTACATTGGTAACTATGTGCCCTCTAGTGATGTAATTTTTGCCAATTATGTAACGCGCTGGAGGCCTAAATCAGGTATTGTTAGTGGTGGTCTGAACGGTGTCTGGGTAATAGATTGGTGATTGGCGTCATTTAATTAAGTCTTGGGATTGTAGATTTAAGTGTGGGTGGTATCCTCTTCCGTGCTTAAGCATTATTGTGATCTATCGTTCTGTGTGATGCGTTTTCCGTTCTTTCTGTTCAGTTCTTTTTTCATGCTGGGTGAGATTGTGTTGGGTTTATTTTGATTTGATTATTTTGGATTTGGTAATGGGCGTTGTGTGGTGGGGTGATGTCAGGCAAGGAATGCTTTTGATATGTGCTGCGGGTTGTGTGATCACTCGTGATGTGTAACAGTCGTGAGTAGATAGGTATTTTTTATCCTTTTGGGTATAATTCCTTTTGCATTGGATACAAATGACTAAGGGTGTAGGTGAGTGACAGATTCTAGGTCATAACTGGCGATTCGGAGAGTATCCAGTGTCGTTACAGACGCAACCTGGAAGTGAGTGTGTGAGGGTTGTGCGTTAAGCGATCGAGGCCCCGGATCGTTTACCTGTGGTTCATACAACTGGCTAGCAGTCGGAGATCCATGGTGGGGTCTTTTCTGTGTACTATTAATCGATTATTAGCGACCAAAGTATAATCGTGGTCGTGTTGTTATCTCCTGAGATTCGGCCTGTAGGTCTAAATGTTAGTACAATAAGAGCTTCTCTGTACAGTGTTATAGGAGCTGAGAGTTATGTTAACTAAAAGAATAAGATTAGGTTTTTCAGCGAAACCTGGTGATATAATAAATGTGTTTCCTTCATAATAACTGTTACTTGCTACCTGAGGCTCGTTGGCCCCGGACAGGAGAATACGACTTTTATGGTAAGCATTGTGCTTTGGTGTTATACGCTTCCGTGAATTACGTTTCCTCCATGTGTGGGGTATTCGCAGTCGCTCCATTGTAAAAATAGTTTCTTGAGAACTCCCAAATGATAAAGTTATCATCCTGGTCAATGCGGCTAGATGGGTCATTTCTATGTCTTTAAGAACCATGCTAAATTCTGTCTCGGCCTTGTGTCTTACATCTCTCTGATTCTGGCCTGTATGTCTCGTCCTCGCCTGGTTTAGACTTTTGGAGGTTATTAGAATTAACTATGAAGTAAGTCTTACATGGGGATGGCTGTCGTGGTATAGAGTAGTTCGTGACTTAAGCCAATCAAATTTAGTAATAGAAATTTCCTAGGGCCGTAAGAATTGTATATCTTAAAACAGTTGGGTATGATATAGAACCCGATCACGCATCAGAAATAGTTTATGGGGAGCATCCTTATTGTGTCGGTCTTGTAAAACTACCGGTTTAAAATATTGTGCCAGGTGTGTTGGATGCTGTTGTGTGTTTGAGCTGATTGTTGGTCGGTTGTGGGGATTTGTGGCTGGTACTTGGCCCATCATGTTGACGTGGATACGTCTGGAATTAGTATAATATTAGGGATACTCATTTCACACTCAGTTTCAAATAAAAATAATGCAAATGGACGCCCACGATTATCCAAACGGTCCCACTCGAAGGGTGATAATTGCTTCATGCCAGCAACTTAGTTTACACCGCTGAGTGCCCTATTGGACATGTTTGCTCTTTATGATGGCAAACTCACGTAGGTCACCTGCAATCAAGCCAATTTTTTTTTTATTTTTTACTAATTTAGACAAGACTACTAAACCCTATGGGTACATGGCATCAAGATCGATACGGTTCGGTTAAGTGACGATCATTTATATAACCTCTCACGCAGAGGTTATTACAGTATGCTACATGCAACTCAATATTGTGAGGTCTTATTTTGTTAAAATATCCGTTTAACGTCTTGTATAAGAATTTTATAAAAGGGATATGTACTATTAGGAAATAGTTAGCTAGATGGTTTTTGAGTAGTTAGGCTACAGTTAGAGCGTGCTCACGAGTAGCATTGAATAGTATATATCAGCTTAGCCTGGTGCAATGTCATGTGAACACTACTTTCTATCAGAGCTCATGTTTGTGTATTGTATTTTACAGTGGGGTGGACAGACGTATCTTGATATACATTAATATTTCTGTGACAGCCTGTTCAGGTCCAGACACATATTATGTGACCTGCCTTCCCCTTTAAGCAAGTAATATTTTATGTGACCTTATTTAAAGGGGTTAAATGTTTATCTATTGATATATTCTTTAATAAATTATTTTGAAAATTAGGAACCCATTGTGCTGAAATATCTATAATATTCTACTTATGTACTAGTAGGACCTTGCAAATGGCTAGATTTACCTCTTTCATTTCAATATTTATAAATTGATTGAACTTGATTTAAAACAAGATTACTTTGTGGAGGAAAGGCAATTTTCCAGAAACATATGTAAAAAAAACAAAAACAAACGAAGAACAGTGGAACGAGAAGCCTCACCCCCAAAAAAAAAGAAAAAAATATTCATTGGCTGTACATTACTACATTCTATATTTCCATATTTAAGTATTTAAAAATGGGGATCCTTTTTGTTTTTCTTTTTCTGTACTTGAAATCTCAATACTTGCAGAATGCACTGACAGCCCGAGCTGATGTTGACAAAGCAGCATATTCAGCTCGAGAACTGTGGCTTGCTTGCGAGTCTTTGAGGAGTGCCCTTAGGTAAGGGATAATGCAAAAATTGGAATTAAAAAGTAAAATGCATGTTTTTTTATTCATTCAAAGTAGATAATTAGAATCTAATTAAATGAATCTAAGATGACAATATATCAGATGATTATATTTTAAAATAGATCGTAAATCATTATTTTATCATAAACAGGCTAGGCAAGGAAGGTTTGCCAATGTCATTGGGAAGAACAGCTTAACCACTTGAATGAACATATAAACTGCTATCAAAGACTGCTGGAGGTAAGGCACACATTTTCAATTTCATATCAAACTTAATAGTTTTGCATACCATATTTACTATGTCACTTCAGTTTGGGGACGGCATGTTACGGGAGACACTTATGATCTACCACGAGTTATAATTATTAGTTGTTTTACAACCATGACATGTGCTGAGTCACCAGAGAATCAATTATTAGTCCTGGCTGTCTTTCTTGTTTACAAATTTTCTTGACGTTTAAAAGAATTATTACAAACTTAATTATGTTTTTAAGAACAAGTACAGCACCAGATTTTTACTTGATTCTTGGCAGGTTTACAAATTTCAAATATTTATTTTCAGGTGAAAACTCTTATTTGAGTGCAGTGATAGGGGCTGTGTCAGAAGAAGCTCGAACTCGTGGTGTATATACAGAAGATGCCTTAAGAGAACGTTTCATTAAAGTTGATAGAATCTGCAAGCGTGTATCCATGATTGGAGACAATGGTGGTTCTCTAATCAAGTAAGTCTCTTCTTTTGAATTTAAAAAACTTTTAAGGATTTTAAAGATTTATTATATATATTTATATATATATATATATATATATATATATATATATATATATATATAATATATATTACCACATATACATAATATACATATACATACATATACACATATACACACATACATACATATATCATATACACATTATGACTAATGCCTTCACTGAATTATAGATTTGAAACATTCATCCTTCTGGAATATGAAAAAGAATCAAGATAACAGTTTGCATTTCTCATCTAACTTTCCAGGTACATGCTGTCTTACGTTCAAAGCTTCTTGATTCTGAATGCTTTTGAGTACTTGCCTGGCAGTGAAGTCCGTGATGAAGAGGTTCCAGTTGACTCACTCTCTGTGTATGACATCTTAGCAAGAGCCAGGTGAGATGATGATAGTGATGAAGATGCAAGTGTATATACATGAAGATGTATGAAGGGTACAGTTGCTTGAAAAAAGAAAGAAAGGGAAAAAAAAGTATTTTTGTATTATATTGGCTCTGTATGAATATAGCTTATTACATTGTAATAAACTGTTAATATATACATATTTAGGATGTATGTATAGTTTTGAGACTTAAATAAAGTCCATATACATTTAGATCTGAATAATTTCCAACTTTTTCTTATTCTTATTCTGCTCCTCTTTCTCTCCCCCCCCTCCCCACTCAGCCTTGTCTGTCTGTTGCTCAGTCTGTTTGTTTGTTTTACATAGCTTCTGTAATTTTTGTTTTTGTCTTTCCAGATATTGCCTGGACAAAGATGACCTCCTTCAAAGTGTACGTTACATGAACCTTTTGCGTGGAGAAGCCCGCAATGTTGCCTCCAGTTGGATCAAGGAGGCTAGGCTAACCCTCGAAACACGTCAGGCAGCTGATGCTCTGCTGGCTCATGCTGCTGCTACAGCTGTTAAGGCACTTTGAAAGTTATGAGGGTCATAATTTTGTTTAGATAAAAAATTGGAATAATAGTTATTTTTTTTACTTATGAAAACATAATTGAAACAAGTTTTCTGAATCAAGGTTGTTATATCTGGCATGCTGCAAAGATAAGCATGCTTAAAATATCACATGAGGAAAATGAGGCAAGATAGGTTGTAAGCTCTAACTATTGTATACAATAAGTTTGCCCTTATTTTCAATGTGATTGAATGTATTTCTTAAAAATTATTAAGTTTTAGTCTGATTTACTGTATTCAGTAGTTAGCAGCTTAAATTCTATTGTGTTACAGTCAGTGCAAAATTGATCCATTTTAAACTAATAATATCAGCATAAGTCTAACCATGATAACAATGGGCTGTTAATTTGTATCTAACCATGAAGTCACTTGCATCAGAGGACATAGGTTTTCATATTTTATATATATGCATTGTTATTATGTGATATGTACATACTGTTCATATTCCTAAAGAAGAAAGTTAACTTTGGCAAATGAAATGAAAATAACATGTGTTTTGTCTGATTCCATCCTAAGTTACATTCTATTTTCATATATAAAGATCTTCAGTTGCTTAAATTATTTTGATCTGGGACAGTAAGGCATCTTCGTACAACAGCCTGTCATTTTATGATAACTATTGAAAGTTTGCCAGATTGTATGTTGATTTGTCTTGTAAATGTTCTCATCTTTGAAATGTAATTTGTAAATAGTTATACATGATGACGTACCCATCTTTTGGTGGGGGTCATGTTCAAATATTCCCATGTAGAATAAAATGTAAGTATTTCTCAATATGTACCTAACCTGGTAAAACATTATCAGTTGAAATAGTGATGTTTTACACTTTGAACATTTCCATGATAAAAGGAATGCACTTGGCTTCCACTAACCTCAGTTCTGCCATAACCAATTTTGTCATTCCAAGTGGTTCAGTCTTCTCTTGTACCTTTCTTGATCATTCTTTCTGGAAATTTCTGGAAGGGATGATGGTTGAAGACTTTTAAGGTGAATATCCTTTCAAATCTTCTTGACTATATATAGTTTTTTTTTTTTTTTTTAGACTACAAATTTTATTGAAATGATGCTATGATCTAATAAATTTGTTTTTCTTCCATTTCCTCTGACATATGTACAAGAGAAGAAACACTGAATTACCAATAATGCAGAGTACCCAAATGTATTATAAAATTGAGGTAGAAGATAAGTCTTAATATCATTAGTCAGTATTGCTACATTTTGAATGATAAGGGTTAAATTGAACTCCAGTTATTTGCTGATTAAGGTTATAGCAAAGCTGCTATTGAAAGTAGCCATTAGATGTAGTTATGGGTCTCTATAGCTACTGTTTTCTAAGTAAGAACTAGAGTTCTTGTTAACCACATGTTATTCAGAAATTCTACTATATATGCATTTATGATAACTCAGAATAACATCAAAAAGGAAATGAAAAATATTGAAAACAATATACATCTGTTGAAAGTTAAACCAGTCTATTGATTCTGGAGTTATCCCTGTTTTATCCTGAACACAAAAACAAAAAAGAAAAAACTTGTTTGAAATTAATATCATGAATAAACATCACAGAAGTATCATATATATTTACAAGCTCATTGTTTGCTTCTTCACATTCCATATCCTAGTTTTACGTTCTTGAAATCCAGATCATGTATGTACTAAAATGAAAACAAAATGAATAGAACAGAGACTTGCATGAAATAAGTAAGTGGACTTTACTTCTTTTGAATTGTCCAAAAAGGAGAAGGCAAGCTGAAACCTTACATGTTAATTGCTAGGATAATCAGCATTCAATGAAATAATGTCTGTTACATTGAAATATAAAGGCACATAGAAGGGAGACTTCAATATTTGCATTAACAATTAATGAAAGAGGGCAGACTTCAATATTCTTGGTAACCAGACACAAGAGAAGTGACTTCAATATTCTTGGAAACAGATCGCTCCATCTGCATCAGAGCACCTATAATAAAACTGATAATGAAACTGCCAATAGATAGCCTTTATAATAACAAGCCAATTGCCTGTAATTAGTAAGAACTGGGTGTAGTAGTGCTGAAAAAAAAATTTGAGGTCCAAGACAAAACAAAATTATTTTGCAATCTGGAATAATGTAATTTTCGTTGCTGCTAAAACAAATATCAGACATTTGAAAAGGTAGGAAGTTGAAAGGCTCACTTCATAGACCTAATTATTTAACTGATGTCCTTCAAAGTTGGATCTGTATCAAGATAATTCTGAAGGAAAAACAAAATAGCAGGAATGCCCTAATTTCAACTATCAATCAGCAAACCTACTAGTACCCATTTGTATTTGTGCTTTTTCTAGTATTTGTCTCCTGAACTTTAGTCCTTACACAAGTTAATACAGCATGGCATATGAATTCATTTATATTAATTGCAAATGACAGTACTATCAGATGGTGCATTTAAGTTCAACGGATATTATTAATCAGATGAGAATAATGTCAACGAATTTAGGAAAACCGTTATTGAAAAAACAAAACAAATGATGACTGCAGCAAGAGTTGTCATTTGAAACACATGACATTGTTCATGACACAATTTAAACAATTTAAATTTTTTAAATGATAATGTGTCTATATATATCATAGATATAAACTATATTGATAGTATTTTATTCTTTTTCATTCATAAACTGATACAGATTTATATATATTTTTATACTTGAGACTATTTTATTGGTCATGGCCTACATATTAGTTTCCCAAATAATTCATGGCAATTGTCACTCATATTTTGCCAAAATATATGAAATTTGGTATCTCTTATAAGAAAGATTTATTATAAAAAACAAAAATTCACCTCCTTAGTGATCTCCCCGAATAAAACGGGGTGAGGTAGCAAGAATAAGATACCATAATCCAGTATGAACTATTCGTTCAATGTCACCCTATGAGTGACCTTGACTTGCTTTTTAAAACACTTCAATGATACAAACACGAGTATGAATCGTACTACATCATGACCATCAAAAGGCAAAAAATCTACTTAGTCTTCATTTAATTCCACAGATAAACGATACTAACAACAGTACGTTTAATAAAAACATCTGCATATATGACAGAGCGTCTTTGACCAAGATATTATTGGAACGGATTTGACAATTTGGAAGCCGCGTCGTCTGCCCAGCCAGACGAGAGCGAGAAGGCTCAGTGTCAACACAACTTGCCGACTGGTCATCTTCTTTCACTAAATTACTCGTTATTTACACAATGGCAGACTTAAAGATCGATACAGGAAATCCAGTGCTCGATGAGAAAATCACCGAGTGGTTGAAATGGGATAAGGTATGTTTCTTTTTTGTATGTACGTAAAGTGTTGATAACAGGTATCAGTTGATGTTATTTCAAACCGTTGTTTCCATTGCATAGTTGAATACATTTTGTTGAACTCTTAGTAAAATAAATAAATAAATAAATGAATAATAAAAAGGAAATACAGGAAAACAAAGGAAGGAACGAATTTCCGGTAGTTTATGTAAAAGAGAAAAAAGTATGATATATAATTCAGAATAATAACTCTGGAAGGGATATGAACTTTTTTTTTTTTTTTTTTTTTTTTTTTTTTTAATAGTTTTAGATTCACAGAGCCTCAAATTAGAATGAAAATTTTACGTTTAACGGAACTTTTATTCTATGGTATTACCTCAGCATCTTGATAATAGCAAAGTTATGAGAGAGAGAGATAAAAAAGAAGAAAAAAAAAAAAATCCACAAAAGCAGGAAAGATAGTGATAGTTCAGTTACTCTTGGAATCTGGCCGTTTATTAATGAGATTTGAAAGAATTTAAAAACTATATAGTTGTCAAGTTCTGTAGCTAATGTTACGATTGATTACAATATATTATTTGATGTATTCAGACAACTTATTTAATAGAATGTTACAAGTTCATCTACATCGATTCTTGTTTGGCCATAAAAGTAGTGATGTTGATAGCCATTTGTATATTTAGACATTATTGAAAGGGAGCGCACTTCTTGATTTCGTAATTTTTTAAATGCTGTAAGTTTTAGCATTGTATTCTGGGTAAATATTTAAAAGACTTATAGTTTCTTAAAATGGAACTTATTTTGGTAAATTTACAGCGGATTACAATCAGGATTTGAGTAAAAAAAATGCATGGAATGGTTATCTTGACGTAAACTGAGACACTTTTCATCTATGGCAAAAGGTGCGCAAATCGAAAATAAAGGAGATATGGGATGAGATAGAGCACATAAAAAAACTAAGAATTTAGAAAAATGTGTTCACATTTGTGCAGTTTTCAAAATGGAAGGAACAGTAATTTATGGATTGATGATGGATTATGGAAGGCCATTTAGAAAGTTGTAAAAATGCGATTTGTTTTTTCAATACGCTTTTTATAGAATATGTCACTTTTTTGTTAATTTAATAACAAAAAAGGGGCATATTCTATTCTATGCGGTATTCATTTAAAAAAATGAATACCGCAAGTTGCAGGGAGATCTAAAAAATTTATCTCACCAGTATGTATTTGATGGAGGTTGGTTGGCCTTTGCTGATGTGCATAAGTACCAGATATATAATACGCATACACATATTTAAAGCAAGTACCGGTTGTATAGGGTTCTTCTAAACATTTACATTATTTATATGGCCACAAAAAGCAAATGACATTTTTACAAAAAGCAGAGTGAATGTGAGGAATATAGATAAACAATAGGTACATGGTAGTAATTTTAGTTTTTTGTGGATTAACTGAATTATTGTGCAAGATATAGCGGATAGTGTGTTAATATAGTATATTGATATTGTGATAAGATATATGTAGAGATAATTTTTTGAATAAAAAAAAACTGTTTCGGTAATGCTTTTGCCCCATATTTCTTTGTATTTCTTTTATAACTTTAGGGATGAGTTATGAGAGAAGTAATCCGTGCTAAAAAAGGGAATGTCGAAATGTCAATGAGTGTATAATGTTGGTAATAAACAGTTAAGTCATTCTGCGTTAAAGTAGAGGTGAATAGGACAGTTTAAATTCTTGTCTGTCAAATAACTTTGGTTTTTGAATTGAATAGAACCTGTGTTCAGAGTTAATTTGAACTATTTAGATAACAGTTTGCAGCTTGTTGGTACGTATTGTTGATAAATAGACAGACCAGAAATTACAGCTCAAAAGATTATTCCATGATATTGATTGATATATTATATATAGTATTTTGAAGGAGAGGACCTGCAGTCTTGGCTTAAAGGAAGCAAGGAAGAGGATGAACGGGATGGAAGTTGTTGACATGGAGGGATGGGGGAGAATTTAGGGGTTTATGGAGAGGGCGGAGGTTGGTATGAAGGGAGAGAGGGAGGGAGAGGATGGAAGTGGTGGCAAAGGGAAGAAAAGGGAGAGAGGGAGAGGGTGGAGCTGGTGGCAGGAAGGGAAGGAGGGAGAGAGGAGGAGGATGGAAGTAATGGTAAAGAGGGAAGGAGGGAGAGAGGGAGGGATGGCAAAGAGGAAAGAGGGAGAGAGGGAGAGGTGGAAGTGATGGCAGGAGGGAGGAGGGAGAAAGGGAGAGGATGAAATAAGGATAGAAGTGATGGCAGAGAGGGTGAGGGAGGGAAGGAGGGAGAGAGGGAGAGGATGGAAGTGATGACAGGAAGGGAAGGAGGGGAGATGGAAGTGATGGCAGGAAGGGAAGGAGGGAGAGAGGGAGAAGATGGAAGTGATGGGAAGGAGGGAGAGAGGGAGAGGATGGAAGTGATGAGAAGGAGGGAGAGAGGGAGAGGATGGAAGTGA